GACTTCAGGAGACCCGACGAGAGGGGCAAGGTTCAATTGCACACGACGGGTACGTGATCATCTGGAGTGGCGCCCGTGCTGGCACCAAGGACAATAGGGGCGTACACGGTGTGGGAATAGCGATCAAGGAGGCCATGTGGGAGAGTGTGGGCGAGGAAGGTAGGACGGTGGAGTGCATTAGCCCGAGGCTGATGAAGGTGCGTCTACAAATTGGCCGCACCTGCGGAGTAACTTTCGTGGTGGGGTACGCCCCCACGGAAACTGTCCGCACCACCGCGGGCGGTGATGTTAACGCCAAGGACTCCTTCTGGACTGCTCTCGACGCAGCGATCCGGGAGGTTCACAGCCGTGACCATCTCATCGTGCCAATGGACGCCAACGCACGCACTGGTAGGAGGCGACACGGGTGCTGCGATGCCAAGATTATGGGCGCGTACGAACGCGACATTATCAACAACAACGGGGAACGACTCCTTGGACTGGCGTCAGACAACCAACTCTCCCTGACCAACACCTACTTCCGGACACCGAAAGGTGGAGTGCAGCACACATTCCAGAGCTCCAACAAGGGAAAGGAGAAGTACCGCCTCGACTTCATCCTCATGCGTCAGGCGGACCGGCGTTTCGTGCGCAATGTCTCCGTCAAACGTGTCGACTTCAAAGACTCTGACCACAACCTCGTGCTTACGACTGTCCGCCTCCCCCCCCGTGTCGCACCCAACCGACGAGTGCGGGGGAACAGCGGAAGCAGCCGGATCCGTATCGACCTCGAGCGGTTGAGGAAGGACAAACACCTACGGGACGCCTTCCAAAACAGGGCCTCTAGCCGCCCTCCGCCCACGGCGCTCAGGCGGCCAACGGGAGAGACCGCCGCCGAGCTGACGGCTACGGTGATGTCGGCCGCTGCTGAGACCGCGCCGCTGGCGAGGTGCGCACGAGGGCAGAGAGGCTGGTACACGAGCGAAGCGCAGCACGAGATTTCCGAAGCGTCTAAGGAGATTAAGGCGGCCCAGCAGCAACTGCGTGGGGCCTCAAAGAACAGCGCCTTCGAGGCGGCGCTGAAGGCGATGATCAAGGCGGCGCGGAAGAAGCGCATCATCGCGAGGTGGAGAGCACTAGAAACGTTCTTCGAGGGCTATGTACGGCAGCTCGAGAAGAAGAGCCGCGAGGGGGATCAGGCGGGTTTCTACAGGCACC